TGTAACCTCACCTACATGGCCTCCCACTCAGAGGGAAAGCTCATTTTGTTACACACTACTTACCAGCACCCCCCACCCCCCACCGCCCCCAGCTTCTGGTTGCTGTGAGCAAAAACCAGGAGTTGGCAGCCTGCCAGGGAGAGACTTGTCGGCGAGACAGAAAGAAGGCTACCTGCTTCTTTTCCTGAGGCCATGGGGTGAGGAGAAAAAGAGGTCACATCTCAGGTTTGGCTTACTGCATACTTGCTGCCACCAGGCTGGTTCCCAAGGGTCTCCTGGTCTTCTGCGGGGACTGGAGAACTGTCCAAGCCTGGAATAGATGCCAGCCCTGGGGTATGGCCAGAGACCCCTAGGGCAGCCAGTGCCAGGGTGACAGCTGCTGCTGTGAAGGCTTCTGCTTGACCAGAGAGGCAGGACCCTCTCCCCAGGGTTCTGGGCGGGGGGGTGGAGGCAGGGTGGGCAGTGGCTCCCGGTGGCAGCCATCTATACCAAGAGAAAGCCTCAAGTTCCAGAGTGGAATGGCAATGAGGCCAAGAGACACTGCCATCACTTCACAAATGAAGATACCTTTTAAAGAATAGGCACTCCACATGCAAAGGAGGTTTGGTTTCTACTGCCCTCCCTCTCCCTGCCTTTGGACAGGTTTTCTTTGCTGTGATTATTCCCCATGAATCATCATCCATAGAAAGTGACTGAGGCAATGGAGAGTGAATAATGAATCCCCTAAATGGTCTTTTGTGTCTCTGCCTGGAGGGTTTTGGAAGTAACTTGCATTTTAATCTATCTGACTTGGAATCATAGAATTTGGGAGCTGAGGAGGACCTTATAGATAATCAGGGGATTGTGACCTCATGGAGAGACCAGAAGTCAAGACATGTGGGTCTGAACCTCTGGTCTGTCACTAAAAATAGTGCTTGCTAACATTTATCGAAGGCTTTCCCTGTATCAGGCGCTCATCTACTGGTCCCAAACCCTCAGAGGCAGAGGGGCTCCTATTGCCTCCATTCTGCAGATGAGGAAGAAGGGAGCTGGGGAGCCAGAACTCCCCTCTGGTCACACAAAGCTCTGGCTTTCGCTCCAGGACCCACACCCTCTCAGTCACTCGGCTGCCTCATCGTGGAGCCTTAGACAAGTAATTCAACCTCTTTGGGTCTCAGTTTTCTCCTTGGTGATCTTTAAAATTTTAAAACTCTAACAAAAGTCTGCATTTCCTACCCAAGCATATGATTTACAGGTCAGGAAAGTGCAGCCCAGAAATGTGAAATGATTTGCCGTACATCACCCAGGTGGCCAGAGGCAGAGCCGGCATGGGAACCCAGGCCCAGTGGTCTTTCCTCCTCACCTGCCAGGCAAGACGGCCTTTCCCTCCGCCTCACTTTGGCAGGTGTTTCTAGAGGAGTCCAACTCCTTGCCTAAGAGGGGTTCAGGTAGATTGGAGATGTCGGGTTTGGGTGTGGCCAATGACAACACCCAAGAGGAATTTAAGAGGCTGGTGATATTTGTCTAAGTATCTTCGACCTATCTGCCTGTCTGCTGTTTCCTATCTTTCTCGGGTCAAGAGTGGTGATCAAAATCATGCAGTAACCACAGAGAAAGAGCACGGTGATACGAGATCTGCTGTGGCACATACACACTCCCCCCTGGTGGGTGATGCTTACAGTGGTTTTGTCCCTCTCAAGCAAATGTTACCACCTTGTACAGGCTCTCATGGAGCCTGCGTCCTTCATCGTGGTTCAAAGTCTGCCCTTCTCCCCCTTCTCCTGTCCCCGTCCCTCCCCCCCCACCCCCCGTTGCGGGATTTGATCAGACCCTGGGGTGTGATGAGCGTGCCTCTGGAGGAGGCAGGTCCGACAGTGCGCTCTGGCAATCAGTGTGCACCACCTTTAGTAGTATCCCCATCCTAGTGTCCTCGCTACGGAGACAGAGACTGGGGAGGGCTGGAGGTGTCAATGAACAAATCATTGGAGCGCATCCGAAGTGAGAACAAGGGCATCCTGGGGGAGGCAGTACTCTGTTCACAATGGCACCATGAACCCGTGTACGTATGTGAGGGTGCGTGTGGCTCAGCCGCTCCGAAATGAGCTCTCACCCACTGGTGAGTGGAAAATTAGCTTTGGCAGGTGAGGAACTGGGTGACAGGTGAGGAAGCCAGCAGGGGTATCGGTGTTATCTCTCTCTCGTACCCCCTCTCCCCTGACTTGTAATTAGGTGCAGTGGAAATGGCTCACAAGGGCTTGGGCACGGGGGCGCGTGACAGGAGTGCGACAGAATGGCCTCGTGGCCTTTGGAAGCTAGCTGTGTGCTCTGCAGGTGGGCTGCCCTAAGCCAGTCGGGAGTTGGCATTTTCCTGACAGCCCACAAAGCAAGCTGTGTGGCTTACGTTTCTTTGGTGGGTGGGAGAAGAGATGGCAGCCCAGGGACTAAGCCCTGGGAAATTCTGCCATATGGCAGGACGTTGGAGGCGATGTGGGCCAGAAGCGGCGGGCAGAAGACCTGGGGTCTTGGACCGGCTCCGCTGGCCTGTCTCTGCGTGGCTCTGGTTGGCCCTGTAATCTCTCTGTGCCTCAGTTGCTCTAACTGTAAAGTGGGGCGAACGACTCCTCTGCTCCCTGCCTGCTGTAAAGGCAAGATATTTAGAGGCCCTTTGAAATGTCAAGAGCACGGCTGCAAATGTGAGGCCCGACTGCCAAGGGAATTTGCAGAGCCCACGGGGAGGCAGCCGTCTGCCTCAGCGTTGGTTTCACAGCCTGTGCTCAGACAGGTACTTAAGCATCTCACATCCATAAATCTCAGCTCGTATCTGTAGTCAGCAAACAAGGGAAAGGGCAGGCTGCCGCTCTGCTACCATCTGATCTTCTTACCAACCTCGGCTCTGGGCCTCCTCTGCCCCCACCCGAGGCGATGATCCCTCTGCCCTCCCGCGTCTGCTCTCGGCCTGTCAGTTTAATTTAACAAGGTTGTGGGAGAGGCTTGATTTAATCAAACCAGTTGCTGCATCCGTTCTGCTCAGAGGTCCCTCAGTGTCACCACCGAGGCTCAGATTAGACAGTGACAATTACTTCTTCTTCCCTGGCTATAGCTTCCCCCTCCCTTTCTCTCCCTGAAGGGAACACGGAGGCAGACCGGGCTCCTGGGACCTAAGAATAGATGCATGAGGATCAAAGGAGGGAAGCAGACTGGCCTGAGAAAGCCCCTCTCATGCCTTACATGGCCTGGTTGAGGGCTGAGCAACAGCCTGAGGGACGGAGGGATAGAAAATTCGAGCAGAGCTGCCTTGGGAAGGCTCAGGACTGTCTGAGGACAGAGCCGTGCTAGCGCCAGCGCCATTATCGCTGGCCCTCGGAGATACACCAGGTCTCGGAAACAGGGTGGAGGGGTGCGCTAATGCTCTGTACGCGCCAGCCCGCAAGCATTTATTTCCAGGTTCTCAGCCTGGATTCTGGGGTCTCCAGAGCTGGGAAACAGCAACAAGAAACAAAGGTGAGACTCCATCAGAGTTTCTGTGGCTCTGTTCTTGGCACAAAAGCGGCTGTGACAGGAGGAGCTGCCCCCTGAACCAGGGGTTCGAGGGAGGCTGTGTGGAAACTACCGTACGGGGGGCAGGTGGGTAACGAACTGTGGCGCTTGGCAGTGTGTGTGTTGTGTGTGTGAGCGTCTGGAGCTGGACAGCAAGGCAGGGGGTCTCTGGTGCAGAAGCCTCAGGGCTTAGGGAGATTCCGGAACAGATCTCTCTTCTTGCCATTTAACTCTTTCATTTCCCTCCTTTTCCAGGAAGTGGGTGCTCGGGCGCCTCTTGCTCTCTCCAGCGGCTCACAGGAGAGAGACGAAGGCCTCTTGAAGAGTCCTCACTCAGGGTGATGGGAATCCTGTTTCCTTTTGCTCATTTGTGTCACATTCTTCCATCGGGCTGGGCAACTGACAGGTGCATCCCTCCCCGGGCCCCCCTCTGAGTCCCCTCCCTGCCATTTGTCTCTCACCCAGATATCCGGCAGACGCCACCATCCGCGGAAGCTGAATATGATTAGCAGAAACCCTTCCTGACAGCTCCAAAGAGAATCCCTCAAATGCATATTCTATTGAGTGCATCTCATTGCTGCTGACAGTCGCTTTATCAATTAAATTCCACATTCCCAGTCTTTGGAGACGCCATGAACCTCCCTACCTAATAAATCACAGGCCCCCAGTTATTGTTAAATGTCCCATCAGTCTCTAATAAACTCCCTGCCAACAGGGGCAGGTTATTTATTATGCTGCCTGGACAAGAATGAATTGGGCCCCGTTCTTACAAGGGGAAGAGCAAATGTGACGCCTTCCTCCCTAAAGACTGAGGCCGTGCTATTAAAAGGGGCAATTAATCAATGTGGGCCTTGGGCAGAGGAGAGCCTGGTCAGGAGACAGGGAGGAAGACCTGGGGTTCTTTTCCGAAAGCCTGCCAGGCCAATGTCCATGGCGGGAGGTGGCTGTGCAGAGTGCGTGGGCTGGGCCTTTGCGGCGGCTTCCCCACCTCCTAATTCCTGTCTGAAAAGGTACTGAAGATATAAGGTCACCCCGTGGGCCAAGGGGCGCATGTAAAAATAGTTATCCTCTGTTTTGGGAGGTAGCCACTTAGGAATGAGAAGGTCCTGAAACAAATTCTGTCCAGGTGGCCACATATTGTTACTTGATAAACTTTATATAACCTAAGTGTATCGATGGCGCTAGTCCACTGAGCAGATGAACTGAAGAATGCCGGAGGGAAGGCCCCCCTTGTCTGGGAGCAAGAACTAGGAAACACTTGCTCCATCAGTTTGTGGGGTAAACACCACACAGGTAAGCCCTGGTACTCGGGAAGCAGTGTACCAACACCGAAAACACCCGGGAGCTAGCAGGTGTAAGACACAAGCGTGTGAAGGGCGTCCTGAAGTTCCCCGCCTCAGGTTAGATCCCAGATCTAGATGATGCTCCACGGTCTGCCAGTTAAGACCCAGACTCCTCGGCTTTGCCATTAATCGAGCCCCATCCACATTTCCAACTGTATCTCTCTTTATTTTATGTAACAGTACCCCGCATTGGGAGAGCACAGCACAGTCATTTTCTATTCCTTATGGTAGCAGACAAGGTCCTTCATAACATGGGACCAATATATCTCTGCAGCCTCATTTCCTGGCAATTGCTGCCATACTTGCCTCCGTTCACACTAAAGCTCGTGGCTTCCCTAAACTATTATGGTTTCTCATGCTTCCACGCCTTTGCACAAACTGTTCGCTTTGCCCAGAATATCTCTCTAACTTGCCTGCTTGGTGAGCTCTCTCCTTCCACCCCCACTGCCTGATGAAACTCCTTATCTATCCTTCAGGATCAGCTCAGAAAATGAGCCCGCAGTGCTTCACAGGACTTGGGCTTGGCCTCCTGGCGCAGATGTACTAGACTCCAGGGTAGGTAAGGAGAAAACATGGTGTTTTTCTCATTGTTCAGTGCATGCTTTAAACCATTTTGATTTTGGGTGGAGATGAGAAGGGCATAGAGAAGAAAGCTACTGCTCTCTGAATACCAAAAGCTGTTTTCCTTAATTTCTCAGTAGTTCCCACTCTCTCCCACATGACAGCCACATTTTAACTAAGGCCCTGAAAATGTCAGTATTGCATATGATTTTATACCAACTTGTGCTACTTGCGTATTTCCTCCTTGATCGGGGCCACCTGTTCGCAGGTATCCTTCTCCTTGAGGGCAACGGCTGTGTCCATATTGGGTGTTCAGAAGATATCTGTTGAAAGAATAAAGAGAAGCTTCAGATTGAATGCAAATAACATTGCCTACCCTTTGTTGCTTTGAGATCAAGTGAGAAAAAGTAGCTGTAAAAATGGTAGTTCTGTTCCTTCTTTCCACATTCTCCTTACACCCACCATGGGCCACCTTAATGTCTATGCTTTTATTTACATTGTTTTCCTCTACACCGGTGCAAAAACCTCCACTGTGGAATGATTGTATGGGACCACTTGAACCTCCATGTCCATCCTGAGTCTAAGTTTTACTTGCTTTTCAGTGCACAGGAATCCTTCCCTTCTCTAGCTCCCAGGTACATTAGGTGAAGTAAGGCTTTCCAGGTAGACAGAATAGAGTAAAAAAAGGCTGAGGTCCCATTGAGATTTTTCCTGAGGGGAGGCCGGGAAGCACACACAGTCTGACTCATTGCTGTGTATGTTACTCTCATACCTTACCTAGTTATTAAATGGTGCCTTACCTCTGTGTTTTATCTTCACAGCACTAAAAGTTACAGCCAACAACTTTATCTAACTTTTCCATTACTGAGGAAAATATTTTATGTATTGATTTGTGTTTTTAGCTGTAGCAACACAATTTATTCCTAGTAACCTTACTGCAATATTTGTGTCCGTAAAACATCATAAACAAGAAACACGATCACAGAATGTCTATAAAACTGGACGTGTTCTTTTCTGGAAAAGCAGTCTTTTTGTTTCTTTTGGGATGAGAGCTGGCTTCTTCATCGATTGGTGTGAGTTTATAGAATTACTGCTATGCGCAATGGAGACCCAGCAAAGACTTTTGAGCAAGATTCAGTGTTTATTAGGCCCACCAAGGGCCTGGTGCTGGGCTGGAGAGCCTGGAGTGAAAAAATTCCCATCCTTGAGAAGCTTATAGTTTTTTTTTTTTTTTTTTTTTTTTTTTTTTTAGTGTAAGGGACAGACACCTAAACAAGTAAATAGAACCGGGTAAGAGACTGGAGTTATTATAGTGTGAAGTGGGAGTCTGGCATGGGAAATAAAAAAGTTTGTTAAAAGGATCTAGGGGCACCTGGGTGGCTCAGTCGGTTAAACATCTGACTACGGCTCAGGTCATGATCTCGAGGTTCGCAAGTTTGAGCCCCCAGTCAAGCTCTGTGCTGACAGCTCAGAGCCTGGAGACTGCCTCAGATTCTGTCTCCCTCGCTCTCTGCCCCTCCCCTGCTCATGTTCAAATGCTCTCTCTCTCTCTCTCTCTAAAAAAAAAGTAAATAAAAATAAAAATAATGAAAAAAAGGAACAGGATCTGAAGCTGGACCCAAACAACCTATGGTACACACTTAAGAATGATTACTCCAGTACTTGTGGAGTGAGTGGCTGGGAGAGAGAAGAAAAGGGACAGGGGACTATTCAGAAGGTTGTTTCAATAGCTAGGCTGACAAAGGGGCTTAAAGTAGGACAAATGCTATGGAGACTGGACAGAGGAATGAATGAGGTACATAGAGGCAAAATTACCTGCCCTCAGGTAAACTGTAAGAAAAGGGAGAGTGATGGTAGATGGTAGAGTGCCCCAGTGGGGCACCTGGGTGGCTCAGTCGTTTTAAGCATCCGGCTTCGGCTCAGGTCGTGATCTCGCGGTCCATGAGTTTGAGCCCCGCGTTGGGCTCTGTGCTGACAGCTCAGAACCTGGAGCCTGCTTCTGATTCTGTGTCTCCCTCTCTCTCTGACCCTCCCCCCATTCATGCTCTCTCTCTGTCTCAAAAATAAATAAACGTTAAAAAAAATTTTTTTTTAAAAAAGAATAACTCCCAGGTTTGGGATTTGGGGGCTAGATGGATGAAAAAGGTGGGGTTACTAAGAGGAAGCCTGGAAACTTCAGTGCCCACTCCCAACAGAACCCCTTCTTTCACATGGACAGTTGACATTTCTCAATGTTTTTTAAATTTCTAACCAAAACGCATCCTTGAGACCTCTTACAGATGGGATTACAGTGCCAAAGCCCCTTCTACATCATTTGGAATCTGGATCATCATTCTGTGTGCACCTGCATGTGTGTGAGCATGGGGTGAGAGATAACGATCAGAATGATGATATAAGGACAAAAGAAAAAGTAGGCGTTGGATGCAGAATATCTTTAGTTTTGGAATTATAAATAAGATTAGGTTCCAGAAATATTTAAACTTGGAGTTATGGCTAAGACTCGCAGGAACTCATTTACTCAATAAACACTGAGCACTTACTATGGGTCAGATCTGTTTTTTTTCTCATTAGGAATACAGAAGAGAACTAGACAGAACAGGTCCCTGTCCTCATAGAGTGGGGGAGACAGACAATAAACACAATCTCAGCTAGTGGTGTCATGAAGAAAAATAAAGCAGAACAAGGGAACAGAGAGTGGTGGGAAAGTTGGGGGAACCCAGAGGATGATGGAAGTATCTTAGATAATAATAATAATAGATCAGGGTGAAAGAGGTGATGGGTATTAAAGAGTACACTTACCATGATGAGCACTGAGTAATGTATAGAATGGTAGAACTGCTTTATTGTACACCTGAAAACAATACAACACTGTATGTTAACTACACTGGAATTAAAATTAAAAAAAAAAAAAA